ACAGGGCTACACCTTCAGCCTCGGTTCCAGCTTTGTTTCCTGGCGGTCCACCCGCTCGTCTTCGGTTCTCAGCTCTAGTTGTGAGGCTGAGATCTACGCAGGGGCCATGGCTGCACAGGAGCTACGCTGGCTCACCTACGTGCTGACCGACTTGGGAGAGCAGCCTCGTTCGCCTCCAGTTCTGTACGTAGACAACAAGGCCATGATTGCTTTGTGTCAGGAGCATAGACTGGAGCACAGAACGAAGCACATCGCTCTGCGATACTTCCTTGCTCGAGAGTTGTGGCAGCGTGGCCAGCTTCGTCTTGCGTACGTGGCCACTAGGGCCAACACTGCTGATATATTCACCAAGGCACTTCCGCCTTGTGATCAACAGCGCTTCTCTACTGTATTTGGCATTGTGCCTACTTTGCCTCACTTGCTCACTGCGTGACTTTGCTTGTACTGTGATCTATATATATACGTACATGCTTACACTTGCTAGGGTATGATCACTGTATTGTTTGTTCTCTTTTATATAACTCTGCATGTGAACTGACCTTATGGCCCTTTGCTTGTGCTCGGACTGTGTGGTGACTTTGTGATCCACCCTGAGCTTGCTTTGCTTTTTTTAACTGGTCTTGTGACCACTTGTTCTCCCCCACTTTGCCTATGGTGGTGTGTCGGAATGTTATAGTGCTTACATTTGTGTAGGCTATATTAGGGTATCCACCTAATTAGGGTTAGTACTTGTACCTAACTTCTGCTCAATGCATTCATTCTCGTTCATTCTTCTGACAACGAGTACAAAGTATGAGTGAAGGCATGAGCGAAAACTTATGTGCGAAACATGCAACGGTTACGCGGTGCGTGCGAGCTAGCTAGCAGATGAGGCTGACAAGGATGAGCAAAACGTGGACGGAGCATCGGAGGAGGCTAGACCTCTGCCCTACTTTTCGGTGCCCGTTCCGATGGATGCCGAAAACCTTCGCGAAAGCATCAACGCCGAAGTCTACTACGACTTCGCCCACAACGGTTACGTTACACCCCAACCCGTCAACACCAACATCTCCGAACGCATAGGACCCAATTTCATACCTGATCTAGAAGCGGGAGACGAAGCAGTCTATCCCGAGGACTCAACTCTTCCCCGACTCACACAGAGCGGGCTGCAAATTCTCGGCCTCGTCACCGCACTCCATGGAGCGTCCCCGCCACGAGAGCCTACTACGGTGCAGTAGGCTCTGGGGGGGCAGCACAGGGAAAAATGGCGCGAAGCCATGGACAGGGAGTTAAAGTCGCTGGAAGACAGAAACACCTGGAAGATGGTACCCATCGAAGTATCATGCAACAAGACTGTACTCACGGGAAAGTGGGTCTTCCGCGTGAAAACAAAAGCAGGCGGAACAATCGACAAATTTAAAGCATGATCGGTCGTACGCGGTTTCGACCAAGAGCACGGACGGGACTTCACCGAATCCTTCTCGCGATAGCCGCCATGAAGCGGAAGAAGCTCCGACAAATCGACGTGGCCAATGCGTTCCTCTACACTTCCGTCGATGCAGAATTTTTCGTCGAACAGCCGCACGGATCCGTCACAGACCCTAATAAAGTCTGACAGCTACTGAAGTCACTGTACGGCATCAAACAAGCCCCATGACTGTGGCAGTAGTACCTGCACGCCCGACTAATCCGCATCGGCTTTCAGCAACTGCCACACGATCAGGGAATGTACAGGCTCACAAAGGTTTAAGAGTACATCCTCCTAATCGTCTATGTAGACGATCTGCTTTACCTAGGTTCCACCGACGGCATCACCACCTGGTTTGAAGGGGAGTTGCAGCAGGATCTCACACTCACGGTCTCCTCCACTGTAACTCAATACCTGGGACTCAACATCCTCGACGGAGAGAACGTGATCTACCTCAGTGCCACAAAATACGCCGACACCATCGCAACACGCTTCAGACTAACTCCAGCCGCCATCCCCACGCCTTATCACTACACCACGGGAAATCACAAGGAATAATCCAATCTGCTCAGACCTGCCGGCCTACGGGACTACCAGCAAAAACTAGGATGATTGCTCTTCGCAGCCGTCACCTGCCGACCGGACCTGTTGTACTCGGCGAGCCAACTAGCTACCTACCTCAAGAGGCCCCGAAGCAGAGCACATGGCGGAACTCAATCGCGCGCTACACTATCTCGTCAGTACACCGGCAATCGGCCTAACCTACCACAAAACTGCAACCTTGACTCCAAAACTGATCGGCTATGTGGATGCAGACCATGCAGGCGACTCCGAGAACAGACGATCGCGCACCTGCTACATCTTCTGACTTGAGCCCGTTGGTCCTATCTCGTGGCAGTCGAGCAAGCAAGAGCTAATTGCTCTTTCTTCAGCTGAAGCATAATATATTGCACTCAGCTCAGCCACCAAGGAAGGACTGTACCTTCGCGAACTACTAGAAGAAGTGAAGCTGGCCCAGTTACCCAGCTTCTCCCTCTTCTGTGACAACCAATCGGCAATTCGCATAGTGAACAAGAACGGGTTCGCGAACCGAACGAAGCACATCACCCTGCGATACTTCTTCGTGAAAGACGAGATCGAGAAAGGGAGACTTGAGCTATCCTACTGCCCCACGTCCGAGATGGCAGCAGATTACTTGACCAAGAAACTTGGAAAATAGAAGTTCGAGTACTGCATGCTGCTGATTGGACAGGGCCACGCCACCAGCAACGAAGGCAGCGACACTCCAGAAGCAAAGGGGAGTGTTGGAAACATATAGTTCGTGCTTCTGATGTGTCGAGCGCTAGAACAAGAACGAAGCAGACTCATAGCAAAGCTACATCGAAGCGATTGACAATGCGACAACAGCAGGAGGTTGAAGCGAAGGTCAAATGTCAGCAACCTTTGACTTGACAAAGGCAGCACGACAGCAAGGACAAATAATTGACTCGCTATTGAGCAGTTACCCGAGTCGTCGCTGTATCGAACCGCACTAGCAGTTACAGTTGCAGTTAGTGAAACCTTTCATATGATCTGTATTCTTATAAAAAGCCGTGTATCTCCATGCTATAATTAACTTATCTTGTTCTCACACACCAGTGCAAGATGGTTCAATCGGCCTTCATTAAAGACGCTTCCGCTAATACATCACTCTGAGCTTTAGTATTTGAAAACGATCCTAAGCGCTTTTCTCAATCCAACACTCACTACTTTGATTCATTACACCCGTAACAACTATAATGGTATTACGCGAGCTATGATGGTTGGAGAAGCGAGTTTCTGCCGCCCCAGCCCTTTGCACGCAAGGAGCAGCAAGAGGGAATGTCAGCGACGGAGTCAAGACTTCGCGAAATATTTAGAAACTTCCGCAACCAATCAGATTTCAGCCGAAGTCCCCTTACACTTCGGAATCACTTTCAGCCGAAGTGTTAACGCTTTCTACATGTTTCTACAATCCTGAATCAGCTATATCCGAGAATTCCAGAGCCTTCTTATTCATGCACCTCATGTGGCTCTCAAAGTCACTCAAGGTCCATGGAAGCAGAATTGTGCCCAAGATCCCAAGGGAGTTGCTTTGTCTAGTAGCCTAGTTTTGAGCTACCTATCTGCCTTTGTTTTGTGATGCTTAAAGAGTTCTGCTTTAGTGGGCTTTAAGTTTTTTTCCCTCATCTAGCCAAATTCCAGCAGCTGTGTTGAGCCTTCCCAGCCAAGTTTCCAGCCGTCTAGGAGTCACAATCACCCTGTTTTCAAGTAAGATATGGGTTCATGATTTTCACTGGGAGTTTTAAGGGCGTGTCCAGCCCGTTCATTTACAGTTCATATGCCCTCTTGTGTACCACATTTCGGTTGTAATACTTCATTTTACAGAAATGTTGGACCCAATCGGCTTTCGTTCACGAGACAGCATTGCAGGTACCTCCTCGAGTCGTCTGACTCACGTTACTGGAATCAGCGTGCACACGAACAAGGGTACTCCTGTCCACTACAGTAGTTTTTTGTTCAACGTTGAATTTTCGCATGCGCGAATTGGGGCAGTGTAGGGATTTGCGTGGCGGGGATTGTGTCCCTGCTCTGGAAGGCAGATGCGTTGTGGACTCGACGCACCCTGGATTCGTTTCTAGATACAGCGAGCTTTTTTTAACTGGGGGTGTGTGAAAGCTCTATTTCCCAAAACGAACGCGCTGGACACGCCTTAAAACAGGGTTATATCAGTCACTTCATAATTTCGTCAATGCAGCTTGCGTTGTCAGCTCTGCACGAACACTTAGTTTATCGCACATTGTCGTACGGTCTCAGACGTGTCTCAGCGGCTCTCCACCCTGCGTTCCCCGCCTGCCCTCGGTACGCGTGCCTCCTACGCGCACCGGAGAGGACCCCACCTGTGCCCCTTGCACTGCGCGCTTTCCCCGCTCGCCACTCACCACTGCGCGCCAATCACCACTGCGCGCCACTCACCACTGCGCGCCACTCACCACTGCGCGCCACTCACCACTGCGCGCCACTCACCACTGCGCGCCAATCACCATTGCGCGCCACTCACCACTGCGCACCGCTGCCACGTGTGAGCGTCGCAGCGGCGCCTGCGGGGATTCGAGGCCATCTGGCGCGCCGCGCCACGCGACGGTGGGGCAGCGGGCGGCATGGCGGCGGTGAAGGCGAGTGCGCGGTGCGCGGAGAACGAGGCGGTGGTGGCGTACCTGCAGGGGCGGCAGCGCGAGCTGTGCGGCGAGTGGGACGGCGCACTCACCCGCGCGTTCCGCATGGCCATCGCCAGCATCAGCGACCACTCGCTGCCACTGCGCACCCTGAATGACGCCAGCAAGCTCAGGTGCCTCAATGACGCCAGCAAGCTCAGGTGCCTCCTCGCGTGGTGCCGTGCTCTCATCCCCCAGGGACTGCCCTCGCATTCGTGCGCGCACTCTCCCCACGGACCGCCATCCCCCATCACTCCCCCTCTCCTCCTCCCTCCTCCCCCCCCTCTCCCCTTCCCCCCCCCCCCCCACGCCCCCAGGAACGTGGGCCCCGCCATCCAGCGCCAGCTCAAGGCGTTCTTCGCCACCCACAAGCCCGCCGCCCGCCCCCGCACACCCACCCCGCCCGCCAATAGCGCGCCGCCAGATGGCAACGACCCGGGAGGAGGGGCGATGGACATGGCTCCTGTGGGAGGTGAGAGGGGAGGGCAGGGGGGGGCGGGGCAGGGGATGTGGGAGCCAAGGGGTTTGTGCAACGAAGAGGGGTTGGGGGCGAGGAGTGGTTGGGGGCGAGGGATGGGTTGGGGGCGAGGGGTGGGTTGGGGGCGAGGGGTGGGTTGGGGGCGAGGGGTGGGTTGGGGGCGAGAAGAGGCAGCAGGGAGAGAAGGGGCAGGAGGGAGAGAAGGGGCAGGAGGGAGAGAAGTGGCAGGAGGGAGAGAAGGGGCAGGAGGGAAAGAAGGGGCAGGAGGGAGAGAAGGGGCAGGAGGGAGAGAAGGGGCAGGAGGGAGAGGCAGCACGCGTGCCCGTCTTAGCATCTGTTACCTCGTGCATGCATGCAGGTGATGACGTGGCACACGCCATGGAGCAGTCAGCAGCGGCCATGCCCGACTCCATCCCGCGCAAGCCGCCCAAATACTCGCCCAAACGCGGCTCCGCTGCCTTCGCCATTCTCGTCACCCTGCTGCTGTGAGGCCCGCCCCGCCCACCACTCTGTCCCGCTGCCCCACTTCCTGGAACTGGCCTCCCCACCTCCCCCCTTCACGGCTTGCTCCCCCCTTCACGGCTAGCTCCCCCCTTCACGGCTTGCTCCCCCCTTCACGGCTTGCTCCCCCCTTCACGGCTTGCTCCCCCCTTCACGGCTTGCTCCCCCCTTCACGGCTTGCTCCCCCCTTCACGGCTTGCTCCCCCCTTCACAGCTTGCTCCCCCATACCATGCCTTGCATGCCATGCCGTGCCTCGACTCATGCACTTCATTCGCATGCTGCACCGTGCGTCACGTGGCATGGCAGGGAGAAGATGAAGGGGCGGCAAGCAGTGCCAGTGGCGGAGCTCATGGCCGCCTCCAGGGACGCCGCCCTGCTCGCCTCTGTCATCAGGTGCTCGCCTCCGTCATCAGGTGCTCGCCTCCGTCATCAGGTGCTCGCCTCCGTCATCAGGTGCTCGCCTCCGTCATCAGGTGCTCGCCTCCATCAGCAGGTGCTCGCCTCCGTCATCAGGTGCTCGCCTCCGTCATCAGGTGCTCGCCTCCGCCATCAGGTGCTCGCCTCCGTCATCAGGTGCTCCCCTCCGTCATCAGGTGCTCGCCTCCGTCATCAGGTGCTCGCCTCCGTCATCAGGTGCTCGCCTCCGTCATCAGGTGCTCTCCTCTGTCATCAGGTGCTCGCCTCCGTCATCAGGTGCTCGCCTCCGTCATCAGGTACTCGCCTCCGTCATCAGGTGCTCGCCTCCGTCATCAGGTGCTCGCCTCCGTCATCGAGTGCTCGCCTCCGTCATCAGGTGCTCGCCTCCGTCATCAGGTGCTCTCCTCTGTCATCAGGTGCTCGCCTCGGTCATCAGGTGATCGCCTCCGTCATCAGGTGCTCGCCTCCGCCATCAGGTGCTCGCCTCCGTCATCAGGTGCTCGCCTCCGTCATCAGGTGCTCGCCTCCGTCATCAGGTGCTCGCCTCGGTCATCAGGTGCTCGCCTCCGTCATCAGGTGCTCGCCTCGGTCATCAGGTGCTCGCCTCCGTCATCAGGTGCTCGCCTCCGTCATCAGGTGCTCGCCTCCGTCATTTGGTGCTCGCCTCCGTCATCAGGTGCTCGCCTCCGTCATCAGGTGCTCTCCTCGGTCATCAGGTGCTCGCCTCCGTCATCAGGTGCTCGCCTCCGTCATCAAGTGCTCGCCTCCGTCATCAGGTGCTCGCCTCCGTCATCAGGTGCTCGCCTCCGTCATCAGGTGCTCGCCTCCGTCATCAGGTGCTCGCCTCCGTCATCGAGTGCTCGCCTCCGTCATCAGGTGCTCGCCTCCGTCATCAGGTGCTCTCCTCTGTCATCAGGTGCTCGCCTCGGTCATCAGGTGATCGCCTCCGTCATCAGGTGCTCGCCTCCGCCATCAGGTGCTCGCCTCCGTCATCAGGTGCTCGCCTCCGTCATCAGGTGCTCGCCTCCGTCATCAGGTGCTCGCCTCGGTCATCAGGTGCTCGCCTCCGTCATCAGGTGCTCGCCTCGGTCATCAGGTGCTCGCCTCCGTCATCAGGTGCTCGCCTCCGTCATCAGGTGCTCGCCTCCGTCATTTGGTGCTCGCCTCCGTCATCAGGTGCTCGCCTCCGTCATCAGGTGCTCTCCTCGGTCATCAGGTGCTCGCCTCCGTCATCAGGTGCTCGCCTCCGTCATCAAGTGCTCGCCTCCGTCATCAGGTGCTCGCCTCCGTCATCAGGTGCTCGCCTCCGTCATCAGGTGCTCGCCTCCGTCATCAGGTGCTCGCCTCCGTCATCAGGTGCTCGCCTCCGTCATCAGGTGCTCTCCTCCGTCATCAGGTGCTCGCCTCGGTCATCAGGTGATCGCCTCCGTCATCAGGTGCTCGCCTCCGCCATCAGGTGCTCGCCTCCGTCATCAGGTGCTCGCCTCCGTCATCAGGTGCTCGCCTCCGTCATCAGGTGCTCGCCTCGGTCATCAGGTGCTCGCCTCCGTCATCAGGTGCTCGCCTCGGTCATCAGGTGCTCGCCTCCGTCATCAGGTGCTCGCCTCCGTCATCAGGTGCTCGCCTCCGTCATTTGGTGCTCGCCTCCGTTATCAGGTGCTCGCCTCCGTCATCAGGTGCTCTCCTCGGTCATCAGGTGCTCGCCTCCGTCATCAGGTGCTCGCCTCCGTCATCAAGTGCTCGCCTCCGTCATCAGGTGCTCGCCTCCGTCATCAGGTGCTCGCCTCCGTCATCAGGTGCTCGCCTCCGTCATCAGGTGCTCGCCTCCGTCATCAGGTGCTCGCCTCCGTCATCAGGTGCTCTCCTCCGTCATCAGGTGCTCGCCTCGGTCATCAGGTGATCGCCTCCGTCATCAGGTGCTCGCCTCCGCCATCAGGTGCTCCCCTCCGTCATCAGGTGCTCGCCTCCGTCATCAGGTGCTCGCCTCCGTCATCAGGTTCTCGCCTCCGTCATCAGGTGCTCGCCTCCGTCATCAGGTGCTCGCCTCCGTCATCAGGTGCTCGCCTCCGCTATCAGGTGCTCGCCTCCGTCATCAGGTGCTCGCCTCCGTCATCAGGTGCTCGCCTCCGTCATCAGGTGCTCGCCTCGGTCATGAGGTGCTCGCCTCCGTCATCAGGTGCTCGCCTCGGTCAACAGGTGCTCGCCTCGGTCATGAGGTGCTCGCCTCCGTCATCAAGTGCTCGCCTCTGTCATCAGGTGCCCGCCTCCGTCATCAGGTGCTCGCCTCGGTCATCAGGTGCTCGCCTCGGTCATCAGGTGCTCGCCTCGGTCATCAGGTGCCCGCCTCGGTCATCAGGTGCTCGCCTCCGTCATCAGGTGCTCGCCTCCGTCATCAGGTGCTCGCCTCCGTCATCAGGTGCTCGCCTCCGTCATCAGGTGCTCGCCTCCGTCATGAGGTGCTCGCCGGTCATCAGGTGCTCGCCTCCGTCATCACGTGCTCGCCTCCGTCATCAGCTGCTCGCCTCGGTCATCAGGTGCTCGCCTCGGTCATCAGGTGCTCGCCTCCGTCATCAGGTGCTCGCCTCGGTCATCAGGTGCTCGCCTCGGTCATCACGTGCCCCCCTCGGTCATCAGGTGCTCGCCTCCGTCATCAGGTGCTCGCCTCCGTCATCAGGTGCTCGCCTCCGTCATCAGGTGCTCGCCTCCGTCATCAGGTGCTCGCCTCCGTCATGAGGTGCTCGCCGGTCATCAGGTGCTCGCCTCCGTCATCAGGTGCTCGCCTCCGTCATCAGGTGCTCGCCTCCGTCATTAGGTGCTCGCCTCCGTCATCAGGTGCTCGCCTCCGTCATGAGGTGCTCGCCTCCGTCATGAGGTGCTCGCCGGTCATCAGGTGCTCGCCTCCGTCATCACGTGCTCGCCTCGGTCAACAGGTGCTCGCCTCGATCATCAGGTGCTAGCCTTCGTCGTCAGGTGCTCGCCTCGGTCATCAGGTGCTCGCCTCCGTCATCAGGTGCTCGCCTCCATCAGCAGGTGCTCGCCTCCGTCATCAGGTGCTCGCCTCCGTCATCAGGTGCTCGCCTCCGTCATCAGGTGCTCGCCTCCGTCATCAGGTGCTCGCCTCCGTCATCAGGTGCTCGCCTCCGTCATCAAGTGCTCGCCTCCGTCATCAGGTGCTCGCCTCGGTCAACAGGTGCTCGCCTCGGTCATGAGGTGCTCGCCTCCGTCATCAAGTGCTCGCCTCTGTCATCAGGTGCCCGCCTCCGTCATCAGGTGCTCGCCTCGGTCATCAGGTGCTCGCCTCGGTCATCAGGTGCTCGCCTCGGTCATCAGGTGCCCGCCCCGGTCATCAGGTGCTCGCCTCCGTCATCAGGTGCTCGCCTCCGTCATCAGGTGCTCGCCTCCGTCATCAGGTGCTCGCCTCCGTCATCAGGTGCTCGCCTCCGTCATGAGGTGCTCGCCGGTCATCAGGTGCTCGCCTCCGTCATCACGTGCTCGCCTCCGTCATCAGCTGCTCGCCTCGGTCATCAGGTGCTCGCCTCGGTCATCAGGTGCTCGCCTCCGTCATCAGGTGCTCGCCTCGGTCATCAGGTGCTCGCCTCGGTCATCACGTGCCCCCCTCGGTCATCAGGTGCTCGCCTCCGTCATCAGGTGCTCGCCTCCGTCATCAGGTGCTCGCCTCCGTCATCAGGTGCTCGCCTCCGTCATCAGGTGCTCGCCTCCGTCATGAGGTGCTCGCCGGTCATCAGGTGCTCGCCTCCGTCATCAGGTGCTCGCCTCCGTCATCAGGTGCTCGCCTCCGTCATTAGGTGCTCGCCTCCGTCATCAGGTGCTCGCCTCCGTCATCAGGTGCTCGCCTCCGTCATGAGGTGCTCGCCGGTCATCAGGTGCTCGCCTCCGTCATCACGTGCTCGCCTCGGTCAACAGGTGCTCGCCTCGATCATCAGGTGCTAGCCTTCGTCGTCAGGTGCTCGCCTCGGTCATCAGGTGCTCGCCTCCGTCATCAGGTGCTCGCCTCCATCAGCAGGTGCTCGCCTCCGTCATCAGGTGCTCGCCTCCGTCATCAGGTGCTCGCCTCCGTCATCAGGTGCTCGCCTCCGTCATCAGGTGCTCGCCTCCGTCATCAGGTGCTCGCCTCCGTCATCAAGTGCTCGCCTCCGTCATCAGGTGCTCGCCACCGTCATCAGGTGCTCTCCTCTGTCATCAGGTGCTCGCCTCGGTCATCAAGTGATCGCCTCTGTCATCAAGTGCTCGCCTCCGCCATCAGGTGCTCGCCTCCGTCATCAGGTGCTCGCCTCCGTCATCAGGTGCTCGCCTCCGCCATCAGGTGCTCCCCTCGGTCATCAGGTGCTCGCCTCCGTCATCAGGTGCTCGCCTCCGCCATCAGGTGCTCGCCTCGGTCATCAGGTGCCCGCCTCGATCATCAGGTGCTCGCCTCCGTCATCAGGTGCTCGCCTCCGTCATCAGGTGCTCGCCTCCGTCATCAGGTGCTCGCCTCCGTCATCAGGTGCTCGCCTCCGTCATGAGGTGCTCGCCGGTCATCAGGTGCTCGCCTCCGTCATCAGGTGCTCGCCTCCGTCATCAGGTGCTCGCCTCCATCAGCAGGTGCTCGCCTCCGTCATCAGGTGCTCGCCTCCGTCATCAGGTGCTCGCCTCGGTCATCAGGTGCTCGCCTCCGTCATCAGGTGCTCGCCTCCGTCATCAGGTGCTCGCCTCCGTCATCAGGTGCTCGCCTTCGTCATCACGTGCTCGCCTCCGTTATCACGTGCTCGCCTCCGTCATCAGGTGCCCGCCTCCGTCATCAGGTGCTCGCCTCCGTCATCAGGTGCTCGCCTCCGTCATCAGGTGCTCGCCTCCGTCATCAGGTGCTCGCCGGTCATCAGGTGCTCGCCTCCGTCATCACGTGCTCGCCTCCGTCATCAGGTGCTCGCCTCGGTCATCAGGTGCTCGCCTCCGTCATCAGGTGCTCGCCTCCATCA